TGAAATGGGCTCAGGCCCAAAAAAAATGAATTTGCAGAGCTCTACCTTGGGTATAGTAATCATGTTTTTTTCATTACCCCCATTACAGTTAGTGCGAATTTGCGGCAAAGTGTTCAAAAATGCGTAAATAGATACAATTATAATGATCAAATATATTAATATAATATATAATAATAAACAAAGACATATATTAGTAATAAGGAAAAAAAACAAAAGGAGGGGGGGGGGGAGCACAAAAAATATTGAGGTAAAAACTAATCATCTTGTGGGATGAGGCTGCCTATGAAGCTAATTAATTTGCCTTGTGTATCGATATGGCGAGTCTTTGTCTTAAGAAGAAGCCTTATCGAGGTTCACCCGAAAGTTGGCGAATGTGAGAGCCAAGTTCGATAAGGCATATTTTCCAAAAGTTGTAAGGGTAGTGGAAATGATGAATGAAAATGTATTCTTGAGAAATTTCAGAATATTTATCTATTTTAAGTTACTCCTTTTTCTCAAGAATATTAAAGGTTTGGTTGGATGGTGCAAATGGATCAATACACCAGTAATCCCAGACCAAGAATTGACCCCGCTTCCAAGGAATTTGAGAAATCCCGTCAGGCCGTTTCCCATCAGATCTGAATAGACCGGAAGGTTCGAGGAGATTTGAGCAGATCTCAAAGCTCTAACGATGATTGATGATTATGTCTAACGATACGACATTTACACGAACGACAGTGAAGACTGTCTACCATTATCCAAAACGGCTGAACTGCAACCAGAACATGTGTGAGGTTGAGTAATTAGACAATTTAACCTAATGCCAATGGCGTGAGTGAGCTCGTTTTGGTTCAGTTGTAATTGCAAATTAACAGAAGGAATAGTTTCAAGGAACTCATGGCCTGAACCATTAAGCAGTGAGGAGAATAAAGTACGGTCAGATAATTGCATTCTGGAAAGGAGTGATTCAACGCAGAATACAATAATAGGCCTATTTCAGTCCTTTTGCTTATTCGATTCAGGTAGAGGGTGATCAGCAATAATTCGTGCCATCCACTCGATAATTGCATCATTATAAGAAGAGTCGGGTTTTAACGAAAGAGAATTTGCAATATTTTTTGTTAAAAGACAACTGGATGTGAAGGCTGTTAAGGCGAGATCGGACGGAGATCTGATACCGAGACCTCCCATCTTGGTTGGTAGAGAGGCTTTTGTCCATGCAATTTCATCGAATTTAAGGTTTAAAATATTTTTGATAAGGGCTTTAATTCCATTTTCATAAACTCCGAGAGGAATGGGGAATTTTAAAATGTAAGTTAAACGTAACGCATAAAGGATACGAGGAATATTAAAAAAAAATTTCACGAGGAAAAAGGTTTTATGGGAAGGGAGTAGGGGTAATAAATCAGCCAGCTCAAAAAGTGTTTCAAGTGTTGACTGAAGGAAGGAAGATATAGCAGAGTTACCACCAAAGGGGCACCTCAATGTGGTAAAGTCCATTAAGGGTAGTTAGTTTGAATTTATTTGAATTAGGTTTGATAGAATTTATAGGGATAAATTCAGATTTCTCTGGATTGATGGAGAGTCCGATAGCAGACGCAGCCTCCTTGATAATAGTTACATATTGACCTCATCATCGGAACCACCAAGGATACCATTATTGATATACCAAGCATGTAAGGATAATGAGCAGATCGTTTTAATGGATAATAATGTCATTCAGTGGCGTAGCTAGGAATTTTCCATAGAGGGGGTCCATACATACATAAGACTGGGGGGCTTGGACCGGGTTTATCTTAAAAATCATAACAATATCTTCGATATTATATAACAAATATAGTTAATGCATCAATAATATATTATTATAATTTAGTAGATTATCTCAATATATTATCCTTCCACGAACATCAAAAATATAAATATTCATGGTATTTATTTGATATAAAGTAACTTTTAAGTCTTTTGAACGTATAATCTAAAAAAATATTTGCTCTGGGAGGGGTCCAAACCCGAAAACCACCCCCGTAGCTACGCCACTGATGTCATTAATACCTAAGCAGAAAAATAGGGAACCTAGAGGGTCTCCCTGTTGAATGCCCTCAATGGAAGGAATTTTAAAGATATCAAATTGTAGAGTGGAAGGTAGTTGATAACAAGAATGAAAGAACTTTGTGCAACCGGGAAAAAGAGTACTAAAAGCTTAGGAAGGAGTTCCGGGAAAGTGTATTGTAAGCATTAGAGAAGTCTATTTTAACTAAAGACTCATTAGAGGGTAGATTTTCAAGATATAATCTAGTCATATGTACCACCGCTTCACAGCCACAGGGGATCCCAACACCAAGTAGGAAGGGGCTTAAGAGACTTGAAGCATCATGCTTAATTCGAGATGATATCATCTTGGCAACTAAGCGACGAAAGGTAGAACCGATGGCAATTGGTCTAATATCATTATGGAGGGTAGGAAAAACAAAGCTTGGAACTTCACCATTTAAAATTTTGTTACAGAAGTTTGTTAATTTAGAAAGAATGGAAGTTTGTGAGCAAGTAGAGGGGGAAGTGATGTCCTGGAGAAAAATAAAGCTTTCCTCACTTCTTCTGAAGTAAAAAGAGAAGCACAAGTTGAGTGAGGGTGAGGGGAAATTGGGATAATGTTAGCTGTGAGGTGTTTTTGACATAACTTTATATAAGTGGACATGGAAGGCTCAGCCAGAGAGTCATGTGTGAAACCGATCTGAGTGCACCTTTAATAATATATTGTCAAATTTCTTGCAAATCATATTGGCCTGCATCTCAATTGGTGAGTGTTTTCTTTATTTAAGACAGGATGTGACATTTTATATTCATGAAGATAAGGAGCCTTAATCGAAGATGCATCCTTGATTTGCTGGGTAAGGGATTTATGTGAATTTTTGTCAGGCACTCTGAAGGTATTATATCAACAAAATAGGAATTTTAGCCATTCATACTCATTGCTAAAGTTTAGCAATAGAGGAAAGCATAGACATTCAGCAAAAGATTTAGCAACAGGCAATCTAGCACCTTTGGGGATCCTTAAAATAAAATTTAGTTTGGGATGGTCAAGAAAAAATCTGAGAAACAGGAATTTAAATTGAGGAGAGGTGGAACAAAATTTTCTGGAGGGATAATCGAAAAATTGATAAGGGACAGAGGAACAGAGCCAGAGTTTGGGCCTCTGAATGAAAGAGGTCCATGAACTTGTAAGCATCTACCTTTTCTAATATGTACTAATTTTTGACATAAGGGACAGATTTGTGAAGAATACATAAAGATGGTGATAAATTAATGATTCATGTTGTTGAAATAATAAATTTGATTTCATGAATAAATATAAGGTATTCACCATCTTTTTTTTTTGTCGCGAAATCAGCTGTGGGAATATTTAGCCCACAAACTCCTGTTCGGGTGCGCTCTATATACTCTTAAAAATATCAAAAAGGCAAATAAGCTAAAATGGCTGTCAAAATGGCCCATATAAGTTTGAAGCGAGAGATTTAAAAAAATATTAAAAATTTAACTTTTACAGATTAGATAGATTTTACTATTTAAGTATTTAATATTAAATTATATCATATAAAGAAAAATTTATTAATTGTATTAATATAAATTTTAGTAAATACCTTAATCAAATATTTAATATAATTACATAATTAATATTAAAATCATTTAATATTGATGGTTTTAATATAAATTTTAATAAATATATAATTGTAATATTTCACATAATATAATTTTAATATAATATTTAAAGTAATTAATATATTTAATTTAAATTAATTTGATATAAAGAAAAATATAAAAATTGTATTAATATAAATTTTTTTTTTTTATTTATTTATTTGTAAAATGTAAAAAATAAAATAACAATTTTAAAAAAATATATATATTATTAAAATATAAATTATGGGAATATCGATGCTCTAAAAAGAGCTTATAGTAAAAATGTACCTAAAAAACATGTATAATTATGTTTAAAAATTGTATTTTTTGTTTTAGGAAGATTGACTCGCGTTTTTCGTTTGTTATGTTAAAAATCTTACGTGCTAAAATTTTTAAAAATGAATATGTTGATTGGGAGAAATTACCATTAGTTGTGATGACTATGGGTTGAAAAATAAAATTATTTAATATTGAGTATTTATTGATTTTTTTATTTTCGCCATTAGTAAGAGGATTTGAATTAATTGATGAGGGAAAGGAAGAGACACAGGTAGCGTCCCAAATTAGGGATTTCCCATTGGACCATGGGATGCAGGTTAAACCGTCAGGTCTGAGATTATCTTGTAGAGTTTGTTGGTTCTAGAATGTTAGGAATTTTAGCTTTATTGAGAGCGTTATGGATTATTTTATTTATTGCTTTATGCCGAAGGTGGCGACCTTGGCTACGGGAGCAGTTTAGGCCGTGTCTTTTAGTAATATATAATTGTAATATTTAATAGGATTTAATTATAATATAATAATTAATATTATTTACATAATTAATATAGTATAATTTATATATATTTATAATATTATTTACATATTTATAATATTATTTACATATTTATAATATTATTTACATATTTATAATATTATTTACATATTTATAATATTATTGGTTAGGGTCCACCTCTTCGTATGAACATTTATGAAAAAACGTCAAATGACTTAAAATGGCCACAAATATATTTGAAGCGATTATAAATTTGTATAATTTTGAAACGTTATAAGAGATTTGACAAATAAATTAAAAAATGCTTTTTATTTTAAATTAAATTTAAATAGCTAAATGCTAATTAATATTTAGGGAATCAATTAGAAATACAACAAAACACCTATTAAAAAAAATACAAACTAGAGGGACGATGATACCCAAATCAAATTTTAAGCTTGCAAAATTTAGCAAAAAGCCCCGCGACAAAACATCAAAACACAAAAAAAAAGTATATCATGCTGCACGATACCTGGATGTATACCTAGTCAAAACCATGCAAATTATTTTCGGATAAATCGTATTTCCCATTATGAATACTAATATATTGAGTAATTCCACTGTTCTGCCAAATAATTTAGTAGATTTAACTCTTGTAGGTGTTTGGAATGTATCCTCTTACAAAATAGGTATATGAATAATACGTATTATTGAATACCCTTTTTTAAACATGTTTAATTTTTTTTAGATCATGGTGTTAAAAATTTAAAAGACAATAATTTAGAAACATTTTGGCAATCCAGTGGACCACAACCTCATTTTATAGACATTTCTTATCCTTATAGAGTTTCTATATCAAAAATTTATATATATATTGATTATAAATTGGATGAGAGTTATTCTCCAAATAAGTAACAATATACATAATTGCTTAAACATTTAATCAGAATTAAAGTAAAATATGGAACTAATCTATATGATCTGCAAACTTGTCATTTTCTTGAGTGTGTAGAACCTAATGGGTGGATGTGTATAGATTTATACAAAATTTATGATTTGAAAAAAATCAAAGATAATTTTATAAATGCATTTCATTTGCAAATTATTATTCTGGGCAATCATTTAAATGGAAGAGATACACATATACGTCAAATTAAATTATTTGGTCAAAAAATATATTATGTATCAAATAATTCAGTATTGGATATTAATTCAAATGTTTTTTCTATTAGATAATTATTCTTATCTTTTTAAAGTACTTATAAATATGTACAGTATATTTTTAATAAAATCATGGTATTTATCATTTATGTATTATTAACTCCTTTAACTTTATAAGTGATATCTATATTTATTAATTGAATTATAATTTATTAAAGCTTATTATATATCACAAAAAATTCTTAATAATTTTATTTAGATGAAAACATGTAAAATCAACCTAGATATATATTTATTGATAGACCTTGGTTTCTAATCTGGAAATCAGTTAACACACATTTGACAAATTGGTGGGATTTAACAAATATTCTATATTATTTAAAATTGTCAGTAATTTTAAAAAAATTCTTCAATTATAATAAAAATTATCAGAATTTTATTAATTTTAATAATATAAATAATATGTCAGTATCTTAGAGGTCAGTAAAATTTTATGTAAATATTTTAATAAATTTAACATATTATTTTTTTAGTTTTTTAATAATAAAAAAAATTCTATCATAATATTTAAAGTACTATAAAATTAATTCACTTTACTTGTAAAATAAGTAAAGGAGATTAATCAGAGCACATCAAAATGGATTGTCATCATGAGAAAATGGGGCAAGTATGAAAAGCAGGAAATTTTAACAATTGGGAATAAAGATTGTAATTAGGGATGTTATTTAATATTATTTTAATAGGCTATAAAATTTAAAAAATCAATCTACTATTTCATTGATTTTGGTAATTTTATGATATTGTTTTTTGCAGATTTGATTCCACATTTTTTAATTTATTTAACTTGCAAGGATATCTTGCCTTGCCTATTCTAATTTTTTTTATTTTTTTAGCTTGTGGGCTGGGCTTTGTAGATCTTTACCATTTAATCAATTCTGCGATATGATTTTGTTCATAAAGAAAAAAAAGTTTTTTTATTTATTAATATTGTTGCAAAAATATACAATTTTAATGAATTTGAAAACTCTTAAATATATTTTAAGTATGTAAAGCCTCTATGGATGTATTTAAATCAGTAGCATCACTTGACTATGGGGGAGGGGTACAGGGGCTCTACTCCTCTGAAAAATTTGTTGAGCCTGAAAATTTGTCTCCATTGCTGCTTTTGTCGAGGCTGTTTTCTACAACACACCAAATTTAATTATATCATTTTGCATACACCTAAATCCAGAGGCATTCCATCTAGACTTGAACCAACCAGCATATTTATTGTCGAAGGAAAATGTCCTTAATCCCTTGGTCAAAGGGCCACTTACTGGTTTGGGACTTCCCCTTCATTATCCAAATACACCATCCAACCACCTCGCCCTTGCAGAAATCCTGCTAATCACCAAAATACAGCACCATAGATACTTCTTACTCATTTATAATCACCAGCTCCATTATTACCACCTTAACGGGAGCAGATTTGCTAAAAGATTGATTAGCTTATGGAATCATTTATCTTACAACAAAGACATGCTACCATGATTATTTGTGTTTTATATTTCATCGGATAATCCTTTATCTCCCTTTACCTTCTTTCTTCTTCCTAGTTTCTCTTTACTATGTTTTTTTTAGACATTTTCGTTAAGTCTCATTCTTTTACCTAAATTCAATTTTTATATTTGCCTTAAAAACTTTTCTTGATATATTATATTAGCTATTATCCAAATAGAGAAACAAATGAACTTTAATTTTGTAAATAATTTATAAAAAAAAATTGAGCTCTCTGAGATTGTAAAAGTGACGCCCCTGATTTGAATTTATTGGAAATAAAGGCTTGAATCTATTATATTATTAATTTTGAATTCATATTTAGTGATTGTTGGCTTCCTACTTCAAAATGATAAACATGCATAAAATCATGCTAAACTATTTGTTTATATTTTAATTTGAGATTATAAATAGAGTGGATAAATATTTTTCAGTATAAAGAAGGAAAAAGTTGTAAGTAATTATTAAAGTTAAGAATATGATTTCTAACACATCTAACTAACTTAAATAATTTATTATCAGAATTAGAGGTTAGCCTGGACCGTGAAATTACGCGATGGAATAGGTTATTGCATGATTGTGATTAAGTTAATAATTATCAGGCGAGGTCGCAGGGGCTTCGCTAGCCTTTACAATCTCAGGGAGCTCAACTGGAAAAATTTTATGGGGGTGAAGCCCCCTATATTCACTAATTTTCGTGCCTTCAGCCCACTTTTGCCCGGCCTTCGGCTGGGTTTTATATTAATATATTATACTTTTTAAAATTTGCTAACTCTTAACATATTTTGTCATTTATTATATAATGCATACAAAATAAACTCGCATATAAATAATTAAACAATATAAGACATTTCTAAAAATAATATTTTTTAATACAAAATCTATTTATTACAGTTTAAAATATTTTCGATTGCTGATATAAAAAAAATATGAGTCTAAAGAATTACAAGTGTTAAAAAAGATTAATTAATACATACGCCTCAATTAATAATGGGAAAAAAATATAATATAATTATTAGCAACTTACATTGACAAAAGGTCATGAAACTAATATAACTCCTATTTTAGACAATGTTTTACAGAATGGACTAATAAGGAAAAATTTATAGGCCTGACCAAATCAACAATTCTTGAAGAAGAGAATATAAACGACCAATCCAACTCATAAAACTATATGATGGTTAGAGCTTCCACTCCACATAGATGACATGTTGGAAGCTAGATAAGTAATCGAGAAAATTATTGTGAGATATTAAATTTCCATAAGATTATCTTCCATTTTTAATGATATATAAACGATTACACAGCTGACCATTATTGCTTATCTAAAATATGCTCTCAACAGCTATAGTAATAACCTTAACTTACATAGCCAAAATACTAGATGCTGGTTAATTTGCATTCATAGCTATGACACTCACGATGTTAACTCATATCAGAATTTATTATGTTAGATAAATTGAAAACTAAAACACTATAAATCTTTAGATGAAATTATGAAATATATTGAAGCCTTAAGTTATTTACACAGCGATTATGCCATATTATAGAACTATAAAATAAGTACCAGAATGAAATGATGAAACAATTAAGATTTTATATATTGTCGCACCACCTTGGTATATTATATCTTAAAATAATAGTAGTTTGTAATAATATCAAAAATATACTTGTATTAAAAATTTAACTCAAAACTGTTTTTCGAAAAAGAAAAAAATAGCTTTCCTAGAAACACGTAAAAAAAGAGAAGAAAAGATATCAAGTTTATTTCATCTGTTGTAAAATGAATAATAAAATGTTAAATTTTTAAAATAATTTATTACTAAATAGATGGCGTTAAATACTTAAATGCAAATTGTTACTATATTTATTATCAACACTATTTATTAGTAAAATATATTGTAATATTAACTGTAATATACTATATAACTGTCAAATACGTCTATAAAAGTGGAATTTTATCTAATATCTTATAAACAACTGTATATAGTAGAAGATTATAAAGTATATGTCTACTAACTTTTTATAAAGAAATCCCTTATACTTATTTGGACCTTGAAAATATTTTTAGGAATAGGTATGATAATAAAATTTAAAAATAAATATACAGTTGATTAGTCATTTTGAACTCGGCTAATTACAATATTAAATTTGTTAATTTTCAAACAATATAAGATTATATTTATTTAATTAGGGTTATATAATAATTTAAATAGTAAAAGTCAATTAAACTTCAACTTTTAAGCTAAATTAATATTTAGTGAGTTATTGATATTATATTTTTAATACAGAATATGATTGCAAGATGACATAATGAAAATATAATTTATATATATTAATCTAATATAGTAATTAAAATGTATTCATTTAATAAAAATATAAATAGTCTTATTAATTTCTAAATAATAAAATAAAATCTATATATTACTTAATGGAATTATAAAAGAAATCATTCTGGTCGCAATCAAAATTTATTTTTAGTTCAAAAGGGGATATTAAGGAGCCATTAAAAAAAAAATTTTTGCTTCAGGGTGCTATTCAAATTTTTCAGGGGGCTCGATGACGCCACTGCGAGGTGGACTTTCCTAAAATTTTTACCGAGTATGATTTGGCGTAAACTTAAATTTCTCATGAATCACGGAAATTTATAAAATTGTTGTTTTATGGATATAAATTAGTAGGAACTACATTAATATCAAATTTATATAAAAATTTAACAATTTATGTAAACCTAAAAACTTTAACATGCAAATTGCGACAATTTATTAAGGCATAAAAGTGCCTTAAAAATACAAAAAAATTATTATAATCAGACAATATATAATAGCAAATCAAAAGAAGTTTTTCCCAAAACATCCTGACCCCTTGTTTTTTCAGGCAATTGATCTCGGCAAATCTCTCATTAGTTGATTCTCCCTCATCGGCACTACAGTAGGATTAGGATAAGACAGTTTGCAACTTCATTGCATTCAGGAGCCAACCTGAGAACCATTCTCTACTCTTCTCCATTTTCTCAGGTAGCAGCTACGAATTTTTTTGAGGTTTTCCCATGGCGAAATCTTGACCATCTCTTAAGCAACGATGAGCTACGTCATGCCATTTTAGACTCAATTGCGATATAATGATACCCTATCACTGTATTCTCTGACAAACATCGGTCAACTCCAGAAGCCATCACTCTTTGCACTGCAAGCGTTGTAGAGGCAGATTCATTAGACATTCAAAATGCGACGGTACTATTTCCAAGGTCTTAAATCTGTTGGCATCATCTCAACCCTCAAGCCCACTGGCCTTTACAATTCCGATGGTAAACAGCCTAGTGGTTCTACCATGATCCCTTGGAAGAAGTTGAATTTCTAACCCGAGGTTTCTCACGCATCAATCCTCTTGCCCCTTCCAATATAAATAGGGATCTACTGACGCCGAGGCAAATAAACTAGCTAAATTTTTGCCATGGCTACCTGCCAACTATGCATTCCTACCATTAATCTCCACGACTTTAACATCGTTCGGCTCTCATGCCTTGGCCTTTTTTAAAAATCTAGGGCACCGGATCTCTGCTAGATCTAAGGATTTACGTCAGAGGTTGGCCCTAAAATAAAAAGGTGCAATTATCTCACCTTTATACCTTCAATGACCGAAACTCTCTGATTGAACATTCTGTGCATAGGATAGGCTTAGGCTATTTTTCTCCCAATTATAACATTGGTAAAAAGGAATTTGGATCTCAAGTGATAAAAGACAGCAAAAATTAATGACAAAAACGCGAATAAATATGTGCAGCATCGAGTAGATCAGTGGCCACCAAAGCAAAGCCAATGCTCCTTTTTAGAAGAAGAATTCACAAATTTTTGCTTAATAAAATAATTAAAATTATATAAATTTTCAATAATTAATATTATATTAACTTAGAATTGTATTCTTTATTACCATAAATTGTTACTCATGTGTAGTTTGTTAAACGACTCGTTTTGAGCCGAATTTTAAAAACGGCTAACTCAATACTTTATACAGAATAATATTAAGCAAGCCTGAAGATTTTGCTTGTAGAAGGAACAAAGGTTTGGACATCTACTAGCGTAATCTAGAGGCTTAGTCAAAATTAATCTGGATAAAATATTGAGTTAGCCGTTTTTAAAAATTGGCTCAAAACGAGTCGTTTAACAACACTACTCATGTGTATTAAATTGTTGTTTTTCTTATTTTTTGTAAAGTGTTTATTCTTTTATTTAGTATCCAAAATCATAATCATCATTTATTATTCAAATCAATCTCAAATTATATAATAAAAGAATAAACATTTTACAAATAACAAAAACAACAATTTAATACACATCATTTATCCCCAGCCTATCTGGTTTCGATCGTATCCTTTTGGGATATCGATCTTGACTTGTTTCTTCCTCCCTCTTCTTTAAATTCATTTAATCGTTATTTTTTATTACCTCTTCTTTTTTTACTATCTCTTTGTTTGCATCTCTTCGGTTTTCTCTTCTACTTCAGTTCTCTCTTCTAATTCGTATTCTTCAATTAATATATTTTCGGTTCTTTTCCAAAATTGGTCCGTATGACGTATAATCGTATTACTTGCTATACTTACTCCAGAGCATTGTGATCCGAGTATGCCTTTAATAATGGCTTCCCATTTTTTTCCTTTATTATAGTAAAGACGCGACTTTTTCATTTATCTGGAATTTTTGATTGTGGTATTCTAACTTCTCCTTTTTGCTCCCCCGTTCGAATATTTGATCTAACAATCCTCTAGGTTTAAATTTTAGTAGTATTTCAGCGGAACTTTGTTCAGTTTCTGTCCCTGGTGTATTTTTGTAATTGTAGAGAAAAATATCTAGACTGGTTTCTAAATCCCTCTCGTTTCTTCTATTCATACTCTGTTTAAAAGTTTGAACTACACGTTCGGCCATGCCGTTTGTCTGAGGATGGTAAGGACTTCCATGCACTAATCGAATCCTGTTTTTTTCACAAAAATCATTGAA